ATGTATTGCCATCTATGTACAATGTATTGAATACTTGCTTTGTTGCAAAACCGCTGGATCAAATGTCGCAGCCTTAAGGCCGGCGATCGCCCATGTTAATTTCCCGTATATGCAGAGGTTACTTTTGACGAAGCTTTCGGGAAAAGTATACTTCGTAGCATTAATTTAAATATAGAAATCAGTTCATGAATAATGCCTACGGGTTGTAAAGAAATCTAAAGAAGCATAGTTTTTTAAAAATACTCGAAAAATGACTTTGATCCTTGGTGTCAAAATCACATAGAAATCCTCGGCTTGTCGACGTATTTACTTTAAAAATAAACATATTTAGACGTTTTCTTTTCGTTGCCACCCGTACAACTAGCATATCAAATAAATGAAACAAATCGCACTTCAAAATAATGTTTGGTTTTCCTGAAAGCTTGGTTTGAAATAAAAGCTAATTAATAATTCACCTAATCGGCTAGGGACAACGCAGATGAAAGATGATATACGCCATATCCAAAGCTTGTAAGATTCTATACTGTAAGAACTTCAAGGTAATTTCACAGATGCCGCTTTAGAACATTAGTCGTTGTTAGTCATTTGCATTACCGTTGTTCTTGAGGCAGACAGGGCCGGAACAAATACAATTTTAATACCAGCGTTTTTGTATTTAATTAATTAAATAATTCGATATATTATTAACAAATGTGGTTGTTGCCCTTAAAAAGTATTTTTATTTCCTAATGAAATTTAATCCACTGCCATTTTTTGTAATTATTGGTTTTAATTTTAAAAATAAATACATACTCTAACTTTATAATACTGTTTACCAATGTTTAATATTTTTTAGGCTAAATTTATGTAATATGTTTTTTTTTAAATTTTGATTTTGTTTTCTCTAAAAAAACAAACATCTTTATAGAGATGTCTATTTGACATTTTTAAAAATTAGCTTCACGGAATTCATTTTTAACATTTATACATACCTACATATTTTTCTTGCACTCAAATTAAAAATGGCCTTGTAAGGTAATATCTTATATACAAGGTGGGCCACTGATAACGCCTTGGTCTGTAGAGCCACAACCATGTGATTTTTTAAAATTTGTTTTCACAATGAGATGTATGTCCCAAAAACCAACAATTTAAAAATAATTTCAATTATACAGGGTTCTTCAAGAATGTGATACATATCAAAGTTAGGTTTTTTAAATGGGACACTTTATTTTATATTTGAATTGCCCTCGCTTTTTCGATTATAACAATTAAATAGTATGAGATTATACAGAGTATACGCTAATACCAATTTTACATGAAAATCGTATTGATCTCAATGGCCTGTATACTGCAAAAGAAACAATTGAAAACCAATCATTTGTGGTAAAAGATTTTCGATATTAGTCAAATACCTACATACTTTTCTCATTTTGTTTAATTGAATTTTATATCACCAGGCCAATGTAAACGGACCATATACATTCCTATGTCGCATTTAAATTAAATAGCCACACCATGCAACTTTTAATATCCTGAATCTATATTTAAAATAATGGCTTAACCTTTAATTTATTTGCACAATTGGGATGCAAATCCAAAAAAGTATCCGCTATTACGTTATCAATATTAAATTTTTCTACACCCACATGGATATTACCCAGACAACACACCAAATCACAGAGATATCCACATAATATCTTTTGTGGATATCCAATATATCCACAGGATATCAGAAATATCCCGTGGATCTAATATGGATATCCAAATGTCCGTTTATATCCAGAATATAGAAGATATCCTATGTATATCCAGCAAAATATCTAATGGGTATCTTCCAGACAATACAAGAAATCCCAGAGATATCCACAGAATATATTTTGTGGATATCCAATATATTCAGTGGATCTAATATGGATATCCAAATGTCCGTCTATATCCCAGGATATCGAAGATATTCAGCAAAATATTTTATCGGTATCTTTAGTAGAGGTTCATAAGTAACCAATGATTATTGAATAAAGTCGAAAGAAAATAGCAGAGATAAAAAATATTTTCAACACTCAAAATATTTTCAACACTCTGCCTTTGATTTTGCCCACTAAGGAGAAAGTCATCCTTATTAGGACTTTTCAGCGATAAATGGAAATTCTCGACTCCAGTCTCTAAGGGAGTCTGATTGAGATAGCAATTTCGATCAAAATCAATTACGGCGCATTGAGCATGAGTAGATATTCAACGAGTGAAAGTGGTGTCGCCATCTATACTTAGTAAGCAAAATCAAAAATTACATCTAGTGGATATCCACCATGGTTTGCGTTCGCGCCTAGACTTTGATATATTTTGTGGATGTCCATAGGATATTGAGTACACCTTAAAAAAATTAATTTTAAATATCTGAACGGTACTATTAGCCACAATGCCGAGCACAATGGCGTAATTTTTTCATAATTTGTTATATAATTACTATTATTTATGGACCTTTGAATGCCTATAAATTATAAATGGACTGGACATTCAGTGGATAAAATAAATAAATAAATAAATAAATTTACCAAAATCGTAAAAGTGGACGTGGACGCGTGGCAGTGTGTTTGACGTCCACGCGAAAAGCCGGGGAACGATTCTAGGCTGGCGATTTTTTTTTTCATATTTGATTTTAAAAATCTGTAAAATTTATAAATTATTTTAAAATTAGTTATTTTGTCTTAATAACCTAAAATATTTTTTTTATTTGTAACATATGTACAACTCGAGTGGATTGTCCACATCGTGCTAGCCATCATATCCACTCTTGTTGCACAAACTACTATACATATAGTGTAAGCTGATAATATAAGAAAGTTAGTATAATAGTGAAAGAAAACATGAAATTGCAAAACATCTAGGAAACGAAAATAATTTTTTTCTATACTCACAAGGATATTAGATTATCTACACATAGAGTACAAAACGAAAAAGAATGGTATTGCGTTTAGTTAAGCAAATATATTTCATATCCATTATAGGTAGTAAGAACACTACAAAAAATAAAATCCACCAATCACAGTTCCTATTTTGATCAACCAACTACTATTATTTATAAAATTTTAAATAAGTAACATTTCTGTCAAACTAATTGTCAGTAAAAAAATGTTTAGTTATTGAGATTAAATATACATTAAAATGAGTTATTCTTGTGTAGACTCGATAAATAATAATAGCATTTCTATTTTTGTTTGGTCTATAATTTTATAAATATTTCGTTAATTTTAATAAAACTATATAAAGTCAATTTAATTACGAGTATTAAATAAAAAAAATTTAAGCACCTCGATGGTAGTGAGTTCAGAGCATTTGCCTTTTTTCTTGTTTATTATATTTTATGAACTAGTGAAAGTTTAAATTAGTTATTTTATCTTAATAACCTAATATAATTTTTAATACTATTTGCAGATTTTTATTAGTAGGTCGTAGAAAAAATATGCTGTACAACTCGAGTAGATTGTCCATATCACACTCAGACGATTTAGGAGCACTCCACTAACGGCGCCGTGCTCAAATTTTGTCTTCGTGCGATATGGCCATGAACAAACTACTATTGTACCTATATAAGAATAAATTAAATAAACCTAAATCATTACAATACTTGTTAAATTCAGAACATATACAAAGATAATAGTTTTATGGGTTGAATTGAAAAATAAACTATGCCAATTAAAAAATAGTTATTTAATAACGAACAATAAAATATTTAATTCCCGGAATTAAATCATATTAGGAATTTCCAGTACCATTTATTGTCCTCTAATATTTCAATAATAGTTAAACATGTATCAGACGACAGCTCAAATAAGGGATTAAAAAAGGATAGACACAAATTTGTTTAAGCCGACTAAAATAGTTTCAATGTTTTATATGACAAATTGTACACCCCTATATGGTAAACAGAGATATCAATCAAGTAAGAAAGGGATATGGGAGGTATATTTTATGGTATTTGTTGTGGCACTGCTTATAGTTTTTGAATTTTATGTATGTAGGTATATTATGTAAAACTATTTGAGTCCATTGACTGTTTTTTGCATGGAATTCCAATAGTTTTTTCTACCTGGGTATCATTGATTCCAAAATAGTTAGCTTTTACATCTTACAAAACATAAACTTAGTAAAATTATCTAAATAAAAATTGACCTCTTATTTTCATATGTAATATGCATATACATACACAATTTGATTTATATAAGTTGGTGCATTCCAAAGTTTCTCTTCTTTACACGCTTGTTTAGATTTTTTGATTTTTGCTAAGAAAGTTAAAATGGTTTATTTGTATTTTAGCATACTATAATTTAAACTTTTTATGACAAGAAAGGTAATTTATAAACTAGAAATAAACTTTTCAAATTTCTTCGTAAAACGATACTAATTCCGGGTCTGCTTATGTAAATTTTTCAACGGTTGAAGGCTTGAAAGCAGAAGTAGAAAACTATTCTTCGATGGTTAGATATTTTTAAGTTCCTTTACTCACTGCCGGGGACCGCCACGTCCCGGGACACCTTCATTGCGGAAAGTTATACCCATCTCTTTCTTGCACGAAATGCGATTCCTTGTGTGTCAGACGCAAGCCTTAAGTAACTTGCAAACGCGCTTTTCCGTCTAAACCGTTTCGAACATATTGCACACAAGGGCGTATATAGCAATTTTTTCAGGGGGGGGCCAAAAAATTCAAAATCAAAAATACTATGCGAAATTATTATTGAAGAAAAAAACACAAAACTAAGTATGGTGCATAACAAAATATCGAGAGGAAAGCAACGTCAAAATTTAAAAACGATGAATAGAAAGAAGAATACAACATACAACATTATATTATTAGATTAAAAACGTTACATTTTTTATAATAAAATGTATTTACCTATATCAACTAAAACAAACATTAACCAAAGAGTATTATACTTACACAAGATATGCTATAAGCTATAATATTCTTTGCATTAACATAATATTAACCTAAAGTAAAGCAAATATTTTAAAATATTCACATAAGTTCATCATTATGTACTTATACAACGTTTATACAAGCTACAGATTATAGGTACTTGTTAAATAAAATTAAAGTAAACAAAAATCAAGATTTAAACTAATTATGATTCAAATAGAAATTGAATTTTACGCGGATTTTCGCCAAACTTATTAATAATTTCTTGAACAAAGTGTTCTTGATCGGTGAGATCTTTATGTATGCTTAGCATACATAAACCATTCAATCGATCCTCACATGTGGTTGCGCGCAGCCAGGTCTTAACCTTCCTTAAGGTAGAAAAGGACCGTTCTACAGTACATGTTGTAGACGGAAGCGTAAGAAAAATGTTTATCAAGGTAGTTATGGCCGGAAAAAAAGAAATGTTATAAGAGTCCAAAAGTACTTCCATAAATGTTAAATTACCGCAGTCTTTATTAGCAAAATAACTTTGCCATAATTCAATTTCATGTGAAGCGTCTATAAGATAAAATTCGTTTAGATTCTCCGTAATATCCCGTAAATCTGTTCGATCACATTTTTTAATGTGATTTGGGTGAAGTTTTTCTAGAGTGACATCACTTTTTAGATTGGTATCGAAGCGTGATTTTAAGGATGATATCAAAGAATCCAAGTAAGGAATAAAAATGCTTACTCGAAAATATTCCTCAATTGAATCATCACCCTCAGTTATATTATAATTCGCACGATGGGTTTGTCTAGATGCAAGACGAGGGATCTTAATTTCGACATCTAATTCATTAGCAGTGGTCAAAGCTGAGGAAAATATACTTGAAAATTGCTCTTTGGCCATACTTCTGTGATGCATAAATAAATCTAATATTTTTGCAACGTGTCTTCTTACATCTTGCCTATTTATATCAACTCCTTGCAAAATATTGGTTAATGGCTCCAAAATAACTGAATATTTTGCAATTACATACAGAGATACGATAAAATTACTGTTTTTCAGTGAATACAGCAACTGATTACTTAGTTGACGGGTGTTGCTATTTCCGAAAGAACACAATTGAGACAGAGCGTTAACAATATTTATATATTTTTCACTAAAAATTCTTATTGATTTGTGTTTTTCAGACCATCTAGTTTCGCACAACATTGGTATGTTAGGTATCAAAACTCGACGTAGCGGGCTATCTCTAAAAAACTTAATAACGTTTTTTATAATTCCTATAGCGTTTCTTACATCAGCTACTGCATTTAAATCATGCAAAACAAGATTTAATTTGTGTGATGCGCAGTGGAAGAATTGAGCCTTTGGGTACATTTGACAAATCCTTGCTGCAACACCATTTTCTTTTCCAGCCATAACGGAACACCCATCGTAACCCTGTCCAACTAAATTATTTAAATCTAGCCCAGAACTTTTTAACGTGTCCAGAATCACTTTGGCAATACTGTTTGCATCCATAGCACTTAGTGGTTCAAAACCAATAAAGTCTTCCCTAACCTTTTGACTTTCTTTATCAAAATACCTAAGACCAATTGATAGCTGCTCAATTCCACTAATATCAGATGTCTCGTCAGCAAGAACAGAAAAATAACCATTCCGTATTACGTTAGAAATAACCTTAGTTTTTAATAATTTGCCAGCAATATCAATGAGTTCGTTTTGAATTATAGGAGATATATAAATACCCTTTCTACTATTGGGGTTTTTTAAATGTTTGCCAAGAGCAACATCGCCACTATCTACACGAAACGCAAGCAAATCGAAAAATACGCCAGATTTTAACGTTTTCCCCCTTAAAGGCAGATTGTGGGTACCACAAAATACAATGGATTTTACAATTGAGCTGAGTATTTTACGATTCTTCTCAATTTCCTGTCGTTTTTTTTCATCGAGCAGTTGAGCGATCTCTAAGGTTTTACCTTCCTTGACTTTTTTAAAATTTTCGCATTTAACTAATGACTCCTTATGCCAACTAGAGTTTAAATGTTTTTTCATTGCTTCAATAAAGTTTTTGTATTTTCTGAAAGAAGTAGTTATGAATGCTCCTTGAAAGCCGCGGCTAACTGTTGGTTTAAAAACAACGCACATTTTACACAAAGCACCTTTTTCTTTGGCAGAATATGCCAACCAAGAAGAATAAGTGTTGAGCCATGAGTACGTAAACGGTCTTTTAGAGTCGCCTACATCGTTTTTAAAATTGTACGAAGGTGGCGGGGTCCATGGACTTTTAAGTAAAGTCAGAAGAATTTCGCTGGCAATTGCTTTATTCCCGATAAAGTTTCCTATATCCATAGGATCCACTATGGAGGTTAAATCCATAAAATTCGAAGTGTTATTTTTCATGTCTGTACTCTGTTCACTAACCTGCACTTCACCTAGTGTTACTGCCCTTGGTGTATTTTGACTTTGACCCTCTTGGTGAGTATCCTCTTTGCTATCTGAACCTGGTGATAACATTTCCGAGCTCATTTCCGCCTTTTTAGCTTGTGAACACTGTTGAGTAGATGCTGACGGACCAGGACTACAACTACGAGCTCTTTTTGTTGAAAAATATTTTCGAATATCCATATTGCTGGTTTAATTACCTATTCTAAAAAATAGTTATTTTAAATCAGCATTTGCGAATACGAGTAGGGTTTTTTACTTTTCGATGCTTAGTTCGTGCTCGTGCCCAACTAACTCTTATTAACTCCTCACTAACACGTAACACGTTAACTACAAACTAACAGTCGTATTTCTTAAAGCAGTCTATCAAAACAAAACTATTTTAAGAAGGTAGGCGAAATATTATCAATGTTGCCAATTACTTCTATTAAATGTATTTCTTTATCATTTAACCCGTGTATTAAACATGACGATCCAAACTACAACGGCAACAGCGAGCGAATCCATTGTGAACAGGTGGACAGGGTTGCCACGTTGCCAGGTCTAATTTCGAAAAGTGAGATTGAGATTAACGAGCTGAAAACTAAATTAATTCCTTAAAATATCCTATTGTTAGGACCTATTTACTTAATTAGTACATAAAATAAGCAGTAAATTTGCTGATGATATCAGTAGATGGGAAATCCAATCAGTACATCTCACGAAAAATCTTGAGATCTGGTAATCCCTGGCTGGCTGCAACTAATTTGAATTTAAGTTAATATTCCGCGCGTGAGCACAAGGCAACCGCGGCGCATGTCGCTCGACACTTCGACAGTCTCGACACGTGCTTCGTGCTTGCCAGTTTGCCGCTGCATTAGCTAACGGAGAGATGTTCGTATGCATGGATACATTCGGATACCTATCGATATTTTCGATGTAATGATTTATATTATAGATCGATATCGATGTATCAAAATTATCCGATAACTTCCAAAGCATACCTCTATACGAGTCTATTGTTAATTGGTAATTAAATTAAGTACCAGTACCAGTTAGTTATTTGTTAACAAATTTTCATTATTTTTAATATAATTCAATTATATTAATTCTTGTTTTGGTATTACCATAACTGCAATGTACTCTGTCTATAGCCAGTAAGCTTTAAAAATTTTGTTCGTTGGAGTGGACTGTGAACTCATTGTATTGCTTGTACCGATTCAGATAAGAGACCCTCAAATTCCAGGGGGGGGCCAAGGCCCCCCCCTGCCCCCCCCTATATACGCCCTTGATTGCACACGTGAACGGTTTTCTCCAGTGTAAATTTTGAACTGTCTAAAGTGCTTATATCGATAAACTGTTTTAAACATATTTCACATGTAAATGGTTTTTCTCGACGTTTTTCTTCAGAATGAATAAATAAATGGATTACTAAATGGTATTTACATTTAAACTGTTTCAAGCATATTTCATATTTGAAAGGTTTTTCTCAAGTGTGAAATTTCAAGTGCCTATTTAAAGCGTCTTTATCGATAAACTGAATTTTTAAATGTCTATTTAAAATTCCTTTTTCAACAAACTGTTTTGAACATATTTCACATTCGAACGATTTTTCTCCAGTATGCATTTTTAAATGATTGTTCAAATTGTTTTTATCGATAAACTGTTTCAAACATATTTCACATTTAAACGGTTGTTTTACTTTAGTATGACTTTTTAAATGATTATTCAAAGTGCCTTTGTTGACAAACTGTTTAGAACATATTTTACATTTGAACGGTTTTTCTTCAGAGTGATATTTTAAATGTATGTTCAACCTGTCTTTATCGATATACTGTTTCAAACATATTTCACATTTAAACGGTTTTTCTTCATGGTGATTTTTTAAATGACTATTTAAATTTCCTTTTTTAACAAACTGTTTCGAACATATTTCACATTTAAACAGTTGTTTTACTTTAGTATGAATTTTTAAATGATTATTCAAAATGCTTTTAATGACAAACTGTTTAGAACATATTTTACATTTGAACGGTTTTTCTCCAGAGTGATATTTTAAATGCACGTTCAACCTGTCTTTATCGATATACTGTTTCAAACATATTTCACATTTAAACGGTTTTTTACCAGTGTGAATTTTTAAATGGCCAGTTAAATGTTGTTTCCGTTTAAACTGTTTCAAACATATTTCACATTTAAATGGTTTTTCTCCAGTGTGAATTCTTAAGTGTGTGTTGACAGCGTTTTTATTAATAAACCGTTTAGAACATATTTTACATTCGAACGGTTTTTCTCCAGTATGAATTTTTAAATGTTTATTCAAACCGCTTTTGATGACAAACTGTTTAGAACATATTTCACATTTAAACGATTTTTCTCCAGAGTGATATTTTAAATGCTTTTCCAAATAGTATTTATCATTAAAATGTTTCAAACATATTTCACATTTGAACGGTTTTTCTTCAGAGTGAATTTTTAAATGCTTGTTCAAATTGCTTTTACTACTAAACTGTTTCAAACATACTTCACATTTAAATAGTTTTTCTCCAGTGTGAATTCTTAAGTGTGTAATGAAAGCGCTTTCATAAGTAAACTGCTTAGAAGATATTTTACATTGGAACGGTTTTTCTTCAGTGTGAATTTTTATATCCCTATTCAAAGTGTCTTTCTGAATAATCTGTTTCGAAAATATTTCACATTTGAACAATTTTTTTTCTGATTGAATTTCTCCAATACGTAAACACTTTTTACATCTACATTGCTCATTTTTTCCAAATTTTCCTTTACAACTATTTGTTTTCTTTACAAAATGAATCAAAAATAAATGAAACAGAAATTGTGACTTATTAAGAAAAAATTTGCCGCAATAGTAACAAGCTTCCAAACATCCTCCAAATTGAACGCGGAAGGGTTTTTTTCTAGAAGATCTGGAAGCTAAAACGAAAAACATGTTAATGTTGAATTGTCATTTTACATTTGAATTTTATAAAATATAATTTCATTTATTGTTTCAAATAGGGCTTAAAAACTCTTAAATTGATCAAGTGAAATGTTTAATTAATGTAAATATGCAAATGACACAACTCAGGGGGGATTATAACACATGCGCATTATACGATAACTTTCAAGCCGCCATGAATCCGACTATTTGGCCTCAGGGGGCTTACATAAGTCGGTTTTTTTACCGGAAAAGGCTACAGACGAAATAAGACTGACTTGCTTAACAAACAACTACGCTATGTGTGACTATTCTCCTAAGGGGGTACAAGAATTTTATTCTACAAAACAATGTGAAAAAATAAAAGCGACCATTAAGTGCATATTAACAGAAAATAAAATGTCATGCTTATCTCAAGGAGATTTTTGGAGGCCAAGATTCAGTGAGTGTGTTCCATGTCAGTATTGGAAATAAACTTGAACAGGTTGAAATTTTATTAAACGATTATCCTTTTGATTTCTTTTTAGTTTCGGAACATTGGCAAAATAAAAGTAATCTTACTCAGATCAATATTCCTGGCTATATTCTAGAAAGTTTTTATTGTAGAGATCAAAATATTGAGCATGGAGGAGTTGCTATCTTCTCTAAAAATAAATTCAGAACAAAACGTCTGAATCTTGATAAATATAATGAAAAGGATATTTCAGAATTTTGTGGTATTACTTTATATCAATTAAAAATTAATATATTCACAGTATACAGACCAAGCGGTGGAAATGAGAGTTTTTTTACGAAATTATGAATGTCTTTTGGATGATTTTGTAAATTCCTCGCATTCTATTATCGTTTTAGGTGATTTTAATTTTAACTTTAAGGGAGATTATGCCTCTCTAAATGATTTAAAGTGCTTGTTGAGTTCTTACGGACTTTCAATAACAATCGATAAATATACTAGGATCACACCTACACAATCTAGTTGCCTGGATAATATTATGACAAATTTAAATGAGGGTTTTTATAAAGTTGGGGTATATGACCCTCTGTTTTCTGATCATTCAGGACAGTATTTGTTTCTAAAAACTGCAGTTATAACTAAGCCCCAAGAATTAACTTTAACTAGGGCTATTTCAAAATCTGGCATACGGAAATTATCTTTTTGTCTTTTGAAAATTGATTGGGGATTCTTTAAAACAAGTCAAGATGTTGACTTTTTATCTTCTTTTTTGGTAACTTCATTTACAGATCTTATTGAAAGACATTTTCCGCTACAGAAGAGCAGACGTATTTTAAATAAGCAGCCTGTTTGTTGGTTTACCAAAGAACTTACAGAGCAAAGAGATTTTTTTGTCAAAGTTAAAAACTATTTGTGATGTTACAGAAGACCCTGTTGTTGTTAATAATTTTAAAAACTTTAAGAAAAACTATAATATTGAACTAAAACGTGCAAAAAAGAATGCATATGATAATTATATAGCCATGGCAGATAACAAATCCAAAGCAAGTTGGCATTTGGTAAACTTTGTAAGAAATAAATCAAAACAAAAAAACTGTATTGAAAGTCTAACCTCAAATGACTTGTAGCGGAGAATATTATGAAGTCTTTACCGGTTTTACCAATTAATGATTTATTAATTTTTAAAAAGTTTCCAGCTCCCTGCTCATCATTTTTTCTTTTTCCAGTTACAAAAGAAGTTCTTGGCGTTGTTAGAACTCTTAAAAATTCGCCATGTGCAGATATTCATGGGATTAACGCCAAACTTATAAAAGAAACTATAGAAATTATATTAGACCCTCTGACAATGTTAATCAATAACATTTTCCTCACTGGTATTTTTCCAGATATATTTAAATTTGCAAAAGTTATTCCTCTACATAAAAAAGGTGAAGAAACAGCCATTGATAACTACCGTCCGATTTCAATTTTAAATACATTTTCAAAAATTATTGATAAACTAATTAAAATTAGATTGTCTCATTACTTTGAAACAAATAATTTTTTTTCTGCACATCAATTTGGTTTTCGTTCAAAGCGATCAACGTCTGATGCTGCAATGTGTGCCGTTGATTATATGGTTGATGGCATTGAAAACGGAAAGTTTGTAGGAGTTACACTGTGCGACTTGTCAAAGGCGTTTGACTGTGTTTCACACGATATCCTCCTTGAAAAGCTAAATTACTATGGAGTTAGAGGAACTGCGTTGCACCTTTTTAATTTTAAATTTTAAACTTAAGTTTTATTTCGGCCTGAGGTGAAATGATTAGATTTTGGACGAAGGCGGAATATTTGGGGGGGTACTTTATGGGAGGCCGTTTTTATATTATATGGAATATATCTGTTATTTATGTTTGGAGAAGAAAATTGTTCAGATAAAAATTACTTACAATATTATTATCTATAATTTTGGTTTTATACAATTTTTTTTTAAAATGGTCCGTATTTGAGAAATTTGACAAAATGTAATAAAATTCAAATTTTTAGGAAAATTGTTTAAATAAAAGTTATTTGTGATATCGATCTCTATAATTTTTGTTTTTTAAATGAGTTTTCTAAAATGGACCGTATTGGAAAAATTGAAGGAAAAGTGCTAAATTTAAATTTCTCAGTATTTTCGTTTTCAAAGAATATCTATTCGCTCCGTGCGCGACAGCAGCGCCAATTTGTTTTGGTATTAAAGGAGTATTTCTGCCTATACTGACAAATACAATTTTTAATAGAATTCGTAAATAAAAAGTATATATGTTAGTTTTAATAAAAGTATATGGATTTATAAAACAATTAAAACATTAATTTATTATTATTATATATTTTTCACGCTTAAATTGAAGAAAATTATGTATAATCATTAAAAATCAATAATAAAATATAGGCAGGCAACAGTATTTACTGGAAAATGTATGAGAAGTTGCCTAAGTCTAATAAGTTGTCATTGAAGAAACCATTTATAATAGCGTGAAGTTAAAATGTATAAAAAGGATCGCTACTTATATTTTCATTTTTGTTCTAAAGAAAACATAGAATGAATGATTAAGTAAAACTGGTTTCCGATCAGTAAGTCACAAAATTGCATATCAGCCAAATATTATAATCAACGGCAGAAATCTTGAAATCTAGTCCTTGCTGAATGAACATTTAAGAATAAAGGGATATTAAAGAACATCGTAAAATGATAATTTATTGTTTATTTAAAAACTTTCTAGTTTCTGATGTCCAATATTTCCAGCATTACTGTTATTATCACAAAAATAAAGGTAATTTTTCTTCTTATTGTACACCTATCCATTTATTTCTTTCATTTAATTTCCACTTTGTTAGTGAAATTTGTTATATAAGTTTCACTATTTTTTTTGCTAGTATTTGTACAATTTTCAACACAGCAACTCCGGTTGCTTATTGTGTTGTTTTTACCTACTTTTTTGAAAAAAAGTAAAATGTATACGTGTATTTGATATGCCAAAATTACAAAATATCCCCCTAAAATGCACGAATTATCCGCAGCTAGCGCTAGTATCGCTTTTGCTTCCCTTTCCATGACTTCGCACGGAGCGAATAGAAAAATGTTTCGAGTTAGATGTATGTGGAAAATGTATATATTTAGTTTATCCTTTGAACATTTATAGAGGTGCTGCAATAGGTTGTACAAAATAACCGGAAAAAGCCTATAATAACTAGATAGGAAAGTCATGTGTTGGACACATCAGATTTTTGTGTTAAAATAAGCTTTATAACCATTAAGTACATGCTTCTAGTTGATATCTACCTAATCGTCATCGGGTGCTTGCAACAATGGGAAAAAGTGTATGGTTTTTTTGGTATAAAGTTAGACGCCTTCATTTTTCAGGTAAGTTATTTGTAGTTATTTTTTACTTAAAAGGATAGCAATACGTCCTGGTTCGGGGTGTGACTTTTGGGTTTTAGCTATCTGAGCCAAATTGTCGGCTAAGTGTCCTCTTTTAGGGCACCCAGAACCGAAAACTATATAGGTATATAATATGTTTTTTTTTAAATTATTTTTTAATATGTATGCAGCTTGGATGAGGGCTTTAGGAAGAGATCCTAAGACTGAACACTGACTGCTATAAATGCCGTTTTTAGAGCACATTTCATAGTAAGTGATTTCATTCTAGCAGCAATGAGGAAACGTTTAAAAAACATGCTGTACCTGCTATTACTTTAAGACCTCGTCTCTTTAAGTTATTATTACTTCATTCTAATCAGAGTTGCCAGTCTAGTACAATTGTACTAGATCTAGTACATTATTTGCGAATCTGGTACTTTAATACACTCAAAGGAAATTCTAGTACTTCTTTCAGCGTATGTTCCATTTGAAGTGTAAAATATTTTGTTCAAATATTGCCAGAGAAATTAAAATAGTTGTTAAAAATTGCTTCAGAGATCAAATAGTAGATATTTCTCGAGAGATCAAATATTGTTCAAAAATAACTGGAGAGGTAAAAAAGGGTGTTAAAAATTGGTCGAAGGATAAAATAGTATTAGAAATTGCTTGAGGGGTGAAATATTGTTCATAAATTGCTTTAGGGATAAAAATACTGTTAAAAATTTAATGAGAGAAGAAAAAAATTTAAAAATTGTTCTAGAGATCAAATAGAATTATAAATAAAATCGTGTTCAAAAATTGCTCGAGGTAAAGTAGTATTACAAAATGTTAAAACCTTGTTTAAAAATTGCTTGAGAGATAAAATATTGTTGAAAAATTTATTGAGAAATAAAATATTGTTTAATATTGACTCGAGAGATACTGTCAGAAATTTCTCGAGAGAAAAAAAAATTGTTTAAAAATTCCTCGAACGATAAAATACGACTAGAAATTGCTCGAGAAAAAAATATTGTACAAACATTGCTCGAGAGATAAAAAAAGTTGTTTAAAAATCACTAGTGACATAAAATATTGTTAAAAATTTATCGAGAGTTAAAATATTGTGCAATTTGCTAAAAAGATAAAAAAAAGTAGTTCAACATTCCTCGAGAGATAGAATA